AAACCGTGGTGGTCAAGGATGGGGTGGGGCCGCCTGTGGGGGTCCGGCTAACGCAAAGACCGACCATTTTGCCAGAAGCTGCCCCTCCCTTTCATCGTCGCCCGCCCCCCACCGAATGGCAACAGTGTCTAAAGCCAACACTCTCCCACACACCACACGCAACCCACTCACACTCGCACTCAGACCCGTGTTGGCCAACGACCCTACTTATACCGATCAGAGGTATCTAGAGGACTATCACTGCTGGTTGGCACCATGCAGATTCTCGACTTAAGCTATAGATCGATTTGAACAGGAAAATTCTTAGAGACAGCTTGCTGTCGATTGAGTGATACCCAGCAGACAGATGTCCTGGTCGCAGGCCGAAACCTCAGAGGTCGTGGTAATTGATGCTTTGACACGTCAGCTGGGCTGATGGGTTTGCCACAGTGTATTGCGTTGGAACAGGCCGGGTGATGGATGATAGGGACGGAGCGCGCGGGTTGGCGAGTACGAAGCCGTTCGGCTGACGTGCGGCCGACCGGTCGCAGGACCTGCGGTAGACGCAGGGTCCCGGTCGTGGACATCCCCTTCAGCTGCACACCATGTTCTCATGGGGTCTGGTCCGGCGTTGGGGCGGACATTCGCCGGGTTAGGACAGCGAAAGACCCGTCGAAGGGGAAAACGTGGAATGCGGGAGAAACACACACTGTCACACACACACGAAAAAAAAAAAAAAAAAAAAGAACGTTCGTACACGTAAAAAAAACGAAAAGAACGCACACAAAAAAAAAGCTCTCACATGTCGTCCCCCGAGAAGAATATGCCTTTCTCTGCCTTCGTCGAAGATGAAGTGGAGACTCTGTTCTGATGAGTTCAATCAGAAAAAAAATGCCGTCTTGATTGGCGGAGCTCGAAGCACGTCTGAATGTGGGGAGGCAACACATGCGCTGCAGGCGTGCCGTGCGGGATTGCACACGTGCCTTGTTGGGGTTTGGAGGGAGGAGCGGGGCAAGGTCAAACTTGCACGGAGTAAGAGATTCTGGCCGTTGATCTTTGGTATCTACGGTAAATATCGCTTAATCCGTGTACGTGGGACCTAGCCCCGGATGCGGAACGAGGTAAAGAAGAAGAACGGAAAACCTCTCTTAATTGGTTGAGCTTGGAGGTCCTGTGAATGCAGGGAGGACAAAGGCGCTGCAGAATTGCGCTAGGGCAGGGAACGAGTGAGGGAGGCGTTGATGTGGAATCAGGTAAGGAAGAAAAAGAAAAACCTCTCTTGATTGGTGGAGCTTGAAGGTCCTGTGAACGTGTAGGGAGGACGAAGGGGCGGCAGGCGTACACTGTTGGGATTGCGCTAAGTGCCTCGGGGTTAGGGCAGGGAAAGACCGAGAGGGAGGCGCTGACGTGGAATGCGGGTAGGAGAGAGAATACTGGTGTGGAGGTCGAAGCTTCTGTGCACATACGGAGGCCGCGTGGGCTCTGCTGGAGGCGTGGGCTGCTTGGTTGCGCACGTGCCTTTGACGCCGTGCCTGCAGCTTTGGGCTTGCGG